CTAGACCGGCTAGCGACTGCTTGCTCTCACGACCAACTTGGACTCCCAGGTACCAAGCGGTACGAGTCATCCCATTCTAGGGGTGGGATGGAGCAGTAGTTGTCAATCTTCGGGGAGAAGGGCGCCACAAACCTCCTGCTCGTGTTGTTCACCATAGTGAGAGAGCCACACTTGGACGCATTAAGGCAGAGGCCTGCCCAGTCGAAAAATTCGTTGCCTGTTCGGACCACATCCTGGGCTTCTTGGGTCGTCAAACTGACAGATCATCGGCAAATGCAAGGCAGCAGGTCTTGGCATCCCCTGCAAACGGTACCTGTAGAAGGTAGTAAGCTTGGGGATGACCCTCTCCAGGACGATGTTGAGGAGGAGGGGGCTCAGGGGACAATCCTGTTTGATTCCCTGGTTCAGCGGGATTGGCGGGGTGCTAACGGCAATAGACCTGATGGTGTGGACTGTGTTGTGGTAGATGTCGCGACGGATTGAGAGGAAGTCCACAGGGACCTTGAGTCTCTCCATCATGAGCCACATGGTGTCGTGCAGAACCGATCCAAAGGCGTTTTTAGATCGATCCATACAATTGTGACGTTCTTGTTGCAGCGCTTGCTGTCTTCCATCATGCTCTGCAGGGTAAAGGAATGTTCTGCGCATCCCTCGTAGGGCAGAAATCCCTTCTGGCCCTTGCTGATGCGACTGTTGGTGATGGCCCAGTCGGCCAATCTGCGGGTGAGTACAGCTGCGTAGATCTTGCAGAAGGTTGGCTGGAGCGATATCGGTCACCAGTTGCTTGGGGTGGTCTTGTCGCCTTTCTTGTAGATGGGGATGGTGGAGCTCGTCTTCCATTGGTGGGGAATGCGCTTGTTTCGTATGCAGATGTTTAAAATCTTTACGAGCAAGTGGTGGGCCTCCGGGTTCCAATTCCACATCTCATAGGTGATCCCATCTGGGCCGGCTGCAGACTTGAGGGGCAGTCTCCCTAGCTGGTTTGTCACCTCATCCAGGCTGATTGAGAATATAAGATCGTCTGGCTGACTCGATTCCTGAACTTGAGGGAGAAAGTCCGGTCCCGGGGAGGCGGGTGGTGTAGGAATCTTACAGGAGAAGTGGGAGATCAAGTCGGACAGCAGAATCTCGCAACGTGGGGATTCCTCCCCTAGTAATGTAATTTCTCCTGTTCGATCAATACCAACGCTGCAGTCTCTTGGCATTCCTGGCTCGTTTTCTCCTCTCAGTCCTGTCGTGTCGATTTCGCTCCTCTCGGTGTTCGTTGCAGGGGTTGGATGCTGAATCGGAGTTAGAGGCCGTGGAGTCGTCCTGGGGTGAAGGGACCAGAGAGGTTCGTTCGTTGTCACGCGATTGTCTCTGCCCGTGTCGCCTTCCCTGTCTACTTCTCCAGTGTGTGGTTGGGTGGGTGGCTGGCCTCATCGGTCGCAGGAGGTTTAGCTCACTGGTCATTCTTGACTGGACAATTGGCGACCCGTGAATCTGGAGCAACTCCAGTTGTAGCTGCGTAGTACATTTGCGATGGTAGACTGTTCGTTCCCTTTCTCCCACCCCTACCACCCCCCTCTCCTCCCCTACCCGCATCCGGTACCTCTCCAACCAGTCTCCCCCCCTCCACCCCGGATCCTGTTCCGGCCACCTACTTTTCCCATCCTAGCCTCTTGTTTTCAAGGAACTGGAGCCAATGAGCCAATTGTGGCTCTCAGAAGCTCTGACTGTGGCTCCTAAACTGGTTGTCTGGTTCTGTACTTGAGTTGAGGTCAAGAACCTTCAAGCAAGTCCAGGTGAAAGCCATGGTCCTCTCGCTTTCGTGATCCGACAGCTCCTACAAAAGTCTCGGTTGGTGCCTCATCATACGGACTTGGAGCAGTACTTCTCCAGTAGTGGACACCCATATCATTTCCATCCTGCTCCAGATATCCACAGATTGAGAAGGAGGCCTTGGCTACTACATGGGCACGTGACACGTTCTTCTGATTGGGAAAAACTTACTAATTGGAACGGACCACAATGCCCCTTTGTTCCACTGCTGGGAGTAAAACACCTAGACACCCTCCCCCACGAACGCCTCGACTGATTTAACTAGACATCAAACACATCCAAGGCAAAGAACTGACACTCTATCGACAGCCCCACTACATAATAAAAAACCACCTCAACATCCAACAATTGGCTGAGACCAGCAAGTGACTAGCGACTGGAAGTGTAAAGAAAAGTGCATTTGGAGGTACCACTGTGTCAGTTTGTCTGCACGGTAGTACTGTGACGGTTGGCGCAGCGAAACAGATGTTGCTCGCCCTGAGTGAGCCTACTGGGATGTGCAAGGAGAGCTTACCATGGGCGATGGACTACTTCTGCGTGGTTGCATACCCAAAGCAGTCCAGAAGAAGAAACTGCACAGCCGACACTGATAAGAGATTGGTTTGGTGCCACCTGAGAGCAAGGTCATCAGCATGGTGGCAAGGCCTCAACAAGCAGCTGACAGACTCTGTCCACAAAATAGCAGAATGACATAATCCCCATACCCGTTAAATGGAGAAAGAACCAACTTTTTGCTCTCGATGGAAACGACTTTCTGGTAGAAGTAGACAGGTCCGCAACATCATTGATCCATACAATGATAAGGAGGCAGCATTAGATTTTGACTGAGTTCCATTACTGTTGCAAAAAGAGACTACGGAGCCAATTATCGAACGGTATATACCTATTATCGAACGCTCGCGAGGCCTGCGAGGGTAAGGAAGTATACGGCTGAAAACGGAGGTGGACAAAGGTATGCGGACCCTCTCCGCGCGGTTTTTTTTTCGTCGGTCTTTTCTCTTTAGGTAAGTCGTTTTATCAGCTATATGGGCAGCTATTACTTACTTTATTGCCCCACCAGGAGTGCTGGGTATGCCGCCCAAGAGGTGCTCGTTCGCCAGGAAGCGCTCGAGGTCTGCACCCGCCCGTCTTCCTCGTTCGGTGTGGTGGCTGGACCCTCATTCTCGCAAGAACAGCAGCGTCGTTTTCAGGTCCGCTATGAGGAAGATTTTGATGTTGCTGGAGATCCTGACTACGTCTCTTGGCTTCGAATTAACCACCCCTATTCTCCACTTCTAAGGCATCCTACAGGGCCCCAAACAAGTGCATCATCAGGCAAATCGCTCCTCCATCACTTTTCAGATGTCACTCCTGTCGCAGAGATTGCTGTTGACTCTCCCCCTCCTGACACAGATAACAGCACAAAAAAACACTCCATGAACATCGGCACTCTCAAAGTTCCTGACCCCTCCTCTAGCGTCAACTCCCACTGGTCGAAAAGGAGAGCCACCTCGGGCTCGTTTATTAACAAGTTGTGCTGCTTTTGAGATATTGAAGGGGAAAGAGAGAAAAAAGAGAGAAAAAAGCAAGAGGAAGCAGAGATAAAAGAAAAAAAGAAGAATGAGAGGGAGGAAACAAAGAAAAGGAAGGAAGAAGAACAAAGGAAAAAGGCGGAGGAGCGAGCAAGAAAGCAGGAACAAAAACTGAAGGAGAAAGCTGAAAAGGAAGCACAAAAAGCTACAAAAGGGAAGGGAAAGCAACCCGCAGGTGTTGGAACGAAGAGAAGCCAAAATGCTCGTAGTACCAGACCAGCAAAATGTCCCCGGAAAACTGCAAACCCCTCTACTCAGATCAACGACAGTGAATGTTGTGTGTGCTACATTTCCTACGACGACGATCAATCAGGAAACGATGCGCATGTGGACGATGGCTGCATGAGGACTGCGCAGATGACTGTGTCACAGATAGTGATGGGAATGAGCATCGGCACATAACCGAACAATGCCTGTGCTGTAGGTGGGGTTTTTCCCCAGCGTTCGATATTTCGTTATGCGCAAATGTACGCACGTTCGGCGGTCGGTACCGGTGTTCGATAAATGGGTCCGTGACATTGACATATAACGGAGGAGAGCGCTCTAAATGGAAAACCGTTAGTGGGCTGGACCTTTGCGAGTCTAGTAGAGCATAGAATGGGGTTTGCGACGGTACAGGAACCGAATTCCGGAGGCGTTTCTGGACGGAGCTACAAACAAGCGCCGGTACACAAGCCACCATTTTAGCACATGCGCATGCGCAGAGGCACGAGACACGCCCAAATGCTGAGTGCAGCTCAAAACGAGATAAACAAAGAGCGCTCGAGATGTGAGAGAACCCGCAGGTAGAGATTCCTGCCGAAACGTGAGCAAACTCCTTGATATAATACCTCCCTGTCTCTCCTATATTATTCAGTCGTGTCAGTAGCACAGCGGCGCGCATTCTCTGCGTCGTAGGAGATCGACGCCGTGCGCAGCGATGGCTACTGGAAAAGGGAGCCCACGCAGTAGCCCTGCGTGTGTCGACAAGAGCTTACACGAATTAGGCGGCGATAATTTAAAGGTCGTATATGAAGCTGTTTTTCCTATTGCCGCAAAATATCTATTTTTTGGCATACAAATTGGTCTAAAGATGAATGAAATTGCAAATATCGAGATGCAGTGTGGTACAGATCCAAAAAAAATCCTGCTTCATGTTTTATCAGTTCGTTTAAAGCAGAGGCCGGCCCTCACATGGGGAGATATTGAAACAGCGCTCAGGTCAGAAGCTTTAGGTGACCATGAGCAAGCTAATAGAGTAAACAGAAAGTATGGCCACCTGTACTATAGGCTTGATCCCAGCCTTCAGGCTACCTCAGGCCAACAGCATGGAGCAACAGAGAAGAAAAGAGTTGCAAGAAGCAATGATTTTTGTACAAAAGTAAGTGACGAACAGACGGAGAGTGTAAAGGTGGAGGTAAGTGGAACAGAAAGCCACACGAACCCATTAAGGGTACAGAGTGAAAATGGCACTGAAACAATGGCAGAACAAGAAACAGAGAAATCTTCAAAAGGTTTGTCAATCGCAGACCCAGATAAAGATGACACCCCTGATTCTTCAAAATTTAAGGAAAATGGCGAACACAATATTTTTGAGCGGTTCTTTGGCCGACTCTGTTGCGAAATTACTAATCCAGTTGAAACTGCAGCTCAGCTTCAGAAGAAAGGTCTTATATCCAAGACAGTAATGAAAGACATGATGAGGTCCCCCGAATCTCAACAAGAAAAGACTATTAGTTTAGTTGATGCAGTCGATGAGACAATAAAGTCAAAACCTGACCTTCTTTTTGTGTTCATTGAAGTACTACTGGAGGATGAAGACCTTCAGGCTGTAGGCAGAGAAATGTCGCGAGAAACAGGTGAATAATCATGAGTGCAACCCTTTCAGATTTCAGGGTGATTGGGATTAGCTTTTGGGTGCTCAGTTAGTAGTTTTAGGAACTCCACAAATACTGTGAACTACCAATCACTAGTGCAGACTAAACACGCCTGTCGAATTTTGTATAATATACATACGTCCAAGTGAAGTGCATGCATTATAATATGCTTACGAAAGACTGTGCTGCATTTTGCCTGAGTACACTCGTTTTCCATGCCAGCTTTCCTTTTCTAGGTCTGCATCACTCAGATGTCTCTCAGCACTTCAAGTCATTCTGGCATTATTAGTCACCCCAGTAAAATATACCAGTCAAGCTATGTATGGGTTGCTACCTGTAGGCCGCTCCGCGTTCCCAAAGAATGCCTCGCTAGTATGATGGTGTTTCGACCGGGTCCACTTGCTCTGTGTATGTTGAAGTCACAACGAAGGGCTTGTATCGACTCCTGCATGCTATCTACTATTGTAGCTAGCCCGTGTCCGACTCTCCGTGAGCTACTAGCGGGAGACCAAGAGTAACGCATGCTAATAGCCCAATGCTCAATTAGCGGTACCACGCATGCATTATGAAAAAGAACTAAAGTGCAAACCCTTGGCGGAGACACACAAGCATACGCATGTGCGGGTCATGCAGTATCGTTGATGGTCTGGGCTACGCTGATTTACCACGTTATCTCGGGTTGACCGTCTTTTGCTAGCTTTTTGCAGGGGCTAGCAGTAGGTATCGTTTTAGGCATCGCAAGACTCAACATTTTTAACCCTCGGCGCGCATGCGCAGCGAGGGTTACGGTAGTTGTCCCGTAAGTGTGTCTGTCAGTCTGTCAGTCTGTCTGTTACCACGGTTTCTGCCACCGCGCGCACGAAATCAAGTAAATAGCATGTGCGCCGAGGGTTAAATATGAGCACCCAAAAGGTCTTCCTAATATTTAATGGTATGGACACTGTCAGTGTGATATAGACTCTTATCCTTACAGGTATACTTCATCCTGACAGAACCCATGCAAGATTACCCAACATTCCCCTTCCAACTACAGATGGCACAGGTGCATTTAGAGAGCTGTAGTAACCATACAAATTGAGAGATTTCTCATTACCACAGGAAGAGCAAGGGGCAGCCAAGAAACAATGCCAACCACAGCTGGGAATACTGTTTCACAACTTGACATTGCCCTGCCATTGATAGGTGATGGTATATCTGCACCACAATCAGGTTTAAGTCGAGTGTTGACAAATTATAAGAGCTACTTGCAGTCTATTTACAATGCTAGAGCCCTAGCTCCAGCAGACAAGTACCTTCCCACCCTAGACGCCCCCTACATTAATCTTGCCATGATTATAAGGGGACGCTACGATACTGAGCAAAGAGATGAGTTTACCAGGAGAACATTGCATGGAGGAGTAGACCAGATTCTTCAGAGTAAGGTACCTATTGAAATTGAAGACTTGCTGACATTTGAATGGAAAGATGACTATTTGTTTATATTGCCGTACTTAAAAGCCTTGATCCAAGAATTCAGCAAGTCTGGAGGCATGCCTGTCGTGATCATTCCAGAAGAAATTGATATTGCCAATGCTGATTCTAGTTATTCTAGGCTTGCAGCAATAACCAGGGGAATGATCCTCTGGAGCAAAAAGCCTGTAAACATTGAAGAATTATTGACATTTGACTGGAAAGACAACTATTTGTTAATTCTGCCTTTTTTAAAAGCACTGATCCAAAAATCTAGTGTTTCAAAAGAAACTAGGCCTGACCTGTTGACTCAACAAGACCGTGGTGAGCCAGGTAGGTTCATTCTGGTAGAGGGCCCTCCAGGAATTGGCAAGAGTACCTTTGCCTGGGAGGCATGTAGGAGATGGGATGATATAGAAAGCCTTAGAGGCTACCACACTGTGGTGCTTCTCAAGTTGAGGGAAAAGTGGGTTTTAAATGCCACGGCCCTTTCTGATCTTTTCAGACACCCAGTTCAGCCTAGTGACAGTAAAGACATTGCAAAAGAACTGCATGATTCCCATGGTTGCAACCTGTTATTGGTTTTAGATGGTTTTGACGAAGTCTCTCACAGTTTCCATAAGGACTCTGTCATTAAAAGAATTCTATGCAGGCAGCTCTTACCCAAATGTGCCATCATTCTCACTACTAGACCAGTGGCCAAGTCAGCACTCAGAAGTATCTGCCAGCCTAAAGTTGATAAACATGTAGAAATCATTGGGTTCACTGAGGAAGAGAGAGTGAGGTATATCACTAAGGTCTTTAGCAATAAACCAGAGCTTCAGGCAAATTTCTTGAAGTACATGTTTCTTGTCCCTCACATAAAGTCAATGATGTACATTCCACTCAACTGTGCCATTATAGCACAAGTCTATTACGAGTCTCAGAGTAGCCGCCACCTGCTCGCTATACCAAAAACAAGAACACAGCTGTACCAGGCACTCACTCATTCCATCCTTGTTAGACACATGAGGATGAAGAAACCCAATCATGAGTGTACATCTATGCTTCCTGAGGGCTTAAACAAAAGGGATAAAAATAAGTTCAGGGTTTTGGCTCAGTTTGCTTTTGTTAACTATCACCAAGGTGGTTCAAGATTGAAGCAGGTGACATTTTTCAAAGAGGACATCCCTGAGGGATTTGTTAGTTTTGGGTTCATGAATGAATCTACTGAAATGTATGCCAGCAGAGGAATGGAGCGAACCTTGTCATTTCTCCACCTCAGCCTACAGGAGTACCTGGCAGCTTGGCACCTTGCTGATACCTTCAGCACTGAGTTTCAGGTGGCTTATCATAGGCTGGCTGTAGATGAAGGAGCCTCTTCTCCATACCAAGGTAATAACAAGGATGAGGAAGCTTTCATATCATCACTAGAGCTACAGAAATCATCACTAGTGGAGCCAGCCATGTTCCTCGCTGGTATCACTGGCTGGAAATGCCAGTCACAAGATGGCAGTCACCACTGGGAATTATATCTCAGTCATGACACAGCACATATTAAGGAGTCCAGTGTTTTGTTCTGCTCTCTCTATGAGGCTCAAAACCCCACTATTTTATTCCACTACTTTGATGTAAAGAGTAACGCTCAATCAAGGACAACACTTCGTATTGATTCAAAGTTAACACCATATAGTTGTTATGCCCTTTCATACATTCTCGCATATTCCTCGGTCAAGCTTAATTTGCATGTTGATCTCCAAGAGGGTGATACTTCACTTCTAGAGACATTCGTCAAAGGTCTTGACGACCACCGCAAGTCTGCCATGCCAAGTGTCAAGACAGTCGAAGTACGGTGTCTGTATTGGCTAGTGAAAGGAAACCGAAAACTCAAAGATATTAGACTTGAAACTGCAAGAAATCATCTTGATGATCTATTACAAAAACTCGACACAATACAATTTCTCTATATTAGTACTGAGCCCTGGGAGTGGAAGTGGATATCTGCACTAAAGTCTCTCAGTGGCCGTGAACTAAGAGGATTTCACGTCACCAACAAAGGCAGCCAACTTACTAGCTGGTCAAAAACTGTTCTTGATGTTAGATTTCCTTACACTGCCTTGACGTTTGATGCTTGCAGTACAATGTATGCGGCAATTGATTCAGTACTAAAAACAGTTGTGAGATCGGATGCAATTACTAAAATGGAGTTGTTTGCAATTTCTCGTGAGACCATGGATGGTGTCCATAGCATATTACTATACTCTCCCAGTCTTACCACACTGAGACTGAGGAGAAGCAGGCTGGACGATGATGGCATCCTCTACATATGTAGTGCACTGAGAAAGAACACGGTACTAAGACATCTTGTGATTCGTGGCGATCTTCAAATGCCACGGTCACAGTTGGTATGGAGAAGACTGCAGTCTGAGTGGGTTTGCAAAGAATTTTCTTCTCCGCCAGATAAGACCGCCTGGACCAAACTCATTCTGGAATTAAAAAATATTCTCAAGGACAATGCTACTCTGAAAGATATGACAATCCAGTTTGAACCCACACAGCATATAGACCTATTACAATAACACACGTGTTACCAAAACCAGCAAATCTACACAGACATCTGCACACCTGCCTCAATGTGGAAGTGGTGTACCTCAATGTTTAAACCTGCAGCAATGATCATGTGTACCTTTCCCAAATCCTTCCCAAACTAACTCACACACACCCAACAGCCTGTGAAGCAATGTGTATAAATCACCTGCACACCTAACACACCGCATATCGACCCAGCAACCTGTGGACCTATAGGGTAACATTTGGAAGCCTCCAGACATACTGTTTATCTTGCACATGAATCGACTAATCGTGGAGGAGTTCATGCCTGCCCATTGCAACCTGTGCTGTCACTGCAGTTGGCTCTAAAGCAATAGGAGAATAGTAAAAACTGGAGTTTACAGAATGGTCCAAATTGTGTTTTACTCCCACACACACAGCCCTGGGGAAATGTTCAAGGAGAGAGACAGAGGGAATTGCTGGAGGGTATTCTAACTGCTCAGATGAGGGTTTTTGCTCCTCGAATAGTCCTATCTTCCTCCCTTCCTCTCCTCCCTCATCGTTTCTAGGCTGAGGAACTGAAGTCGCATGGGAAAAAACAGACCTCGGCATCTTACAGTGTGGCAATAACAACCTTAAAATTAAGAATTGGATAATCTTTTCAGTACAAGGAAGAACGAGACATCTTCAGAGCAAAGTACCTTGGCAGGCAACAATGCATCTCCGACTCACTTCTCGGCAACAACGACCGCTCGCGTCTTTGCTAAAACCGCGTATTTTTCCACACACACGCATGGTGATTGCAATCGACGCACGCATTTCAGCGCATGCAGTCAAAGGGTTAAGTACCCACACCCACTAACGGTCCTCTAATTGTTCCTCGTCAATTGTGTTCGTGTAAGGTCAGCGTGTAGACCGCCACACTGCAAGATACTCACAATTAAACCTCCCTCTGCAATGAAACACTGCACAATGATAGACTGCCTGCAGTGACGAAGAGTGTGGCGCTCTTAATCGGACCACTGCATGCTCAAGAAGACAACTTGAACATTTCACATCTCTCTCTGCTGGCTATCTGACGTAGATGGAGGCTTATTCCTAAGACTTTCTCTTTCAGTACTAATATTGACACATGAAGTCCTTGTTCCCTATCCCTCTCTGGTATTACAATTGTGTGATCTATGTTGATGTACGTAGTGATTATGTGATTTGTATGTTGACATCAGAGAAGAAGAAGATATTTTACTTCTAGAAACATTTGTCAAAGGTCTTGACAATCACTTCCAGTCTACCAAACCAAGAGTAAAAACACTCCAAGTAAGGTTAATGAAGAATTCAGATCAGTGTCTTTATTGGATAATGAAAGCAAAGTGTTGGGCTGAACTCAAGCAAATTGAATTCGAGTCCAAAACATGCACCGACAGTGATCTTAGCGATTTTTTACTACCACTTGACAAACTACAATTTCTTATTGAATCTTGGGAATGGATTTCTGCACTAAAGGTCCTGAGTGGCCGTGAACTGAAAAGGGAGTCAAGTATCCAGCTGGTCAAAATGTGTTTTTGATATAGATATGACATTTCAAGTATGCCCGATACTTTCACCACAGCAATCAATTTGCTTTTGAAAACGGTTTTAGGATCTGATGTAATTACTTACATGGGGTTGACTCAAATTTCTCGTGAGACCATGGATGGTGTTCATAGTATCTTGCTACACTCTCCCAGTCTTACCACACTAAGACTGAATAGAAGCACGCTGAACTATGATGGAATCCTCTACATATGTAGTGCACTGAGAAAGAACACGGTACTAAGACATCTTGTGATTCATGGTGATGGTCAAAGGCCGCTGTCGGCGTTGGTATGGAAAAGACCACAGCCAAAGGTTGTATGTAGAAGAATAACTTCTTCCCCAGCGGATACGACTAACATGACCAATGTACTTCTGGAACTAAATGATATTCTCAGGGACAACAAAACTCTGGAAGATTTGTGGATCCTGTCTTAACCTACTAAACTCTATGCAAATGCACTTATTCCACTGTTTACTACAATCTAGAGCAACCAGCACACCTACCACAATCAAAAAGGACATAAGAGCCAATATACAAATACTGTATCTACTGCCGTCTGCTGCACTACTAATATTCTGAAAAACAATTTGACTGATCCCGCATCGCAGTATATTTTTGGTAGACATTTAGCATCAAAAGACCACAGCCAAAGGTATTTGATCCCGTGGCATTCGACTGAGTCATGGTATATTCTTGCACATGTTGACTACTCTTGCAACAGTATTCGCAGCTGGCCAGCAATTGAAGTATAATGTGTAATGGTGGCCTGGGAACTGGCAACCTGGGATACTCAAAGCGACCACTGCTCAAGAAACAAGTTGAACTGTCTACACCTTCGCTCTGCGCGCTATCTGTACACATGGGGGATTAAAAGACTCCCTCTATTAGGACTCGTGTTGACAGTGAAATAACAGGGCAGGTAAGCCTTGTCCGCTAGTTGGCTCCCTGGTGATGTGTGACCGTGCATGCAAACTACAAACGAATGGCTCCTCAAAATGTTCTGGAGACAACTTCAGTCCCTCCGATGGTGATTCAGCACTCAAATCAGTTGCTGTTGATGAGCGAGAAAACTATTACGGCCATCTGTATAGGCCTGATACAGGCTTTCGGTTACCCCAGACCAACAGCATGAATGTAAGAGAAGAGAAAAAAGAGAAAGGAAGAGATGGTCTTTACCCTACAGTAACTGGTAGTTGTACAATATATCCGTCACTCTTTTCCCAAGAAAGTGTTCCGAACCTGACAGTGAAATTAGTGTAAACTGCAGCTTAGTGTTGACAGTATAAGAGATACTCTTGTCTGGAAATATTTGTCAAAAAGGTTTAAGTCTACCCCACCACATTAAAAGCATTTTAGTCAATTAAGTGTTTGTAGCTAATGGCTTATGAAATAAAGTCCTGTGGAAGTTACATTCCTGGGATGGATCCCAGCACAAAGTCTTTGAATTCCGCGTCACAAAGACAGACAAGTGCGGACCTAGTCAAAGCATCATGCCATCTCAATTATACCCAATGTTTTACCTCAGTATGTCCAGCAATAATTGTTCTGAGATCACATACAAGTAATATTTTTCCCGAGACCATGGATGGTGTCCATAGAATCTTATTACACTGTCCCAGTCTTACCACATTTGAGCTAAAGAGAACTGAACCATCTACAGAACCTGACAGTGAAATAAGAGAAACAAAAAATGATAGTGTGGGAGGTAAATTCCAGCTTACTTAATTGTCTGTTGACAGTAGAAGAGATATTCACGTGGTTTAAAGTCTACCTCACCACAGTCAAAGCACTTAGAAGGGTTTTCTTAACTGTTTGTAATTGCTAAATTCCTGTGGAAGTCACAATTCCTGGGATGAATTCCTGAACAAAGTCTATGTCACAAAGACAGACAAGTATATACTGACCTAGTCAAAAGCATCATTCCGTCCCAATTAAGATACACTAGCTGAAAGAGAAAGAGAATTTCGCAAAACTGATGTCGTATCCTGCCATCCACTATAGCAAGTTTGCCCCTTGGGGCAAGCAATAACCAGAGAACTGAGACTGGAAATTCTTCACAAGACTGTAACAGATCTTAATTGTGTGGTTGAGTAAGGAACGATAGTTATTTGTAGCATGATTCGTGGGCGTATCAAAGATGCCAACAGTACGATAAAGGCCATACTACAGAAAAGATGGGAAAGGAATGGCAAATACAACATTATTATGCTTGAACCACCAAGA